ACACACTAACATTTCATTCTTGTGATCTCAAAAACTTTTAATTAGTTCATGTAGATCTCCTTTTAAGTTTATCATTTAGAAGGTGATCTTTATGTCCATTTGATAAAGCTCCACATCATACAGAGCCACTATCACCATTACAATTCTCAAGGAATCATTCTTAAAAACGAGAGAGAATGTTTTCTTGTAGTCAATGCCTTCCTTTTTGGATGTAACATTCAAGTATAGATTTATACCTTTCGATATTACCTTTAGAGTCATGTTTGGTTTCGAAAAACCCATTTACACACAACTCTTTTAGACCCTTAAGGTAATTCTATTAAATTCTAAACTTTATCGTCATCCATTGACTGTAATTATTCTTTCATGGCATTGATAAACTTTTTCAGAATTTTTACTTTTAATGGCTTGAGATTCATCAACCAAAGGTTGTTCTATAATTCTGATTGCTTGTGATGATTCATTATCAAGTGACTTTAGATCATTTTGTTATTCATCTAAGTTATATGACAGTAATGTAACTAGAAGAATAACAACCATTAATGGACTCTCAGGTTTGGACTATTCAACCCGAGTTTCTTTGACATCCAAACTTTGTTGTTTCAAACTCCCACTAATTTGATAATTTTTCAATGAATCGAGCATTTTCGCAATCAACTATTCTCGTACTATGGTTAGGGCCATAAAACTTATATCCTTTAGAACCTTCCGGATAGCCAATGAATAACCACTGGTTGTCCTAGGATTAAGTTTCTTTTCATGTGGATTATGTACTTTTACTTCTGCTTGACACCTCCAAATATGAAGATGCTTCAAACTAGGCTTCCTACCCTTCCACAGTTCATAAGGTATTTTAGGAACTACTTTAATAGAAACCCAATTTACCCAATATGCAGCAATCTTTAACACATGCATCCACATAAAAAATGTTAATGTTGAATTACTGAACATACTCCTAACCATATCCTATTAAGTACGGTTTATCCTCTCAGCAACACCATTATGTTGAGAAGTCTCAATTATAGTGTATTGCACACAAATATTTCAAATCTCAAGAATCTTTACAAATGGACTAGGATATTATCCTCTTTCATTGAACTTACAATAATATTCACCAATCTAGTGAGATCTCACAACTGTTATTTATTTATCTAACTGCCTTTTTATCTCATCAATGTATATCTTTGGATAGTCCAATGATTGAGTCGTTTCATGTAGTAGATAAATATAACCATAACGTGAGAAATCATTTGTAATGTTGATTAAATACTTTACAAAACCCCATAAAGGGACGTCTAATAGACCACAAGAAAATTAATAAAAATAAGTTTTAGTGCTTCTCTTGACAAATCTCTTTAATGTATGTCTAGTTTGTGTTTCTTTAATTCATCCTACACATACATCTTCATCACTAAAATCCAAATAAAAAATGGTTTCATTATTCACCATTCTCAAACCTTTCTTCGGATATGTGACCATAATCTATAATGCCATAAGAGAGTATAGTATTCATTATGTGCACTACGTTTAACCCAAAATTAAATATGAGATACATAAGTAGTTGCACATAACCAAGCCACCAAGTATCATTGGGAATCTTTAATAAATATGATTCACAACATACAAAACTTAATGTATATCTTTCTTTTCGAATCAATATTTTATTTTGGGCAATCTTTTATGAGGTGGTTTAACGTTTTACAGGAATAACACCTCATTTAATGATTGGACCTGCAAAAACTTTAAGTAAGTCAATCTTCTTTTATTTGCCTTTGTTTCCCATTTTATCTTACTATTATTGGCTCTTACATGAGATATAAAGTGTATCGACTCTTGTTTCATCTCTTTTATTCTCACATCTTCCTGCACCAGCATAGCCTTAATTTCCTTATAGTCCCATTTTATCTTTAATGGTGTTATAGTTCACCTAGGATTGGCCAAACTCGACAGATAGGGAGTTCATGATGAATAAAACTATAAATGAGTCTATCACATTCATTCTCATGTTTGCAAGTTTAGCTTATATGTTGAACATGTTAGACACGATACCATGAATGGAACGGAATTAGTTAAACTTTTATAGTGGTGAGTTCGATCATGAAACTTTCCACAATAGACTTTTTTTTCCGTAACTTTAAATGGAGATAGTTCCTTGATTTTTTTTATTTAGGAATTCTATTGAATTATCAGCCTTAATGTTATCCGTCACGATTAATTTCATAAAATTCAAACACAACCTATTTGATCGCTCACATACCCTACGAAGAGTTACCTCTACTTCAGAGCTCTCACCAATAATGGTTGTGGGCACTTCATCAGTAATTAGAGTATATTCAAATTCAGTGCACCTAATTGAAAATGTATATGCTCAAACCATTAATTGAAGTTCAGACCATTGAATTTTTTTTTTCAATAATAATACTTGACTTAAAAATTAAATTTAAACACGGCAAACTTGATACATGCTATTTAATTAAGCTTTGAGAGAAAATTAATGGATTCAGAAATCTTTTAAATTATATATTTAAATATACCTTTGGGCAAATACTTAAATATATAATATACTTAATTGATGCCTAAGAGGAAAGATCTTTAATAGAAATTATAGGGTATTGTGATTAATTAGTGGTTATCTTTGGACAAACACACTAATTAACCTAACTTTAATTATAATTTCTCTTTTATATATTAATCCTTGATAGAGATTATACATACTTGAGTCAACTAGCGGCTATCTTTGGACAAACACACTAATTAACATCACTTTAAGTATAAATTCTCTTTTAATATTAATCATTAATAGAAATTATATAAATTTTGATCAATTAGAGGTTATCTTTGGACAAACACTCTAATTGACCTAACTTTAATTATAATTTCTCTTTTAGTTGTCACAAACTATAAACCCATGGCCCACCTTTGGGTGTCCTCCTAGTTTATAATGCATGACATCAATTATTCAAATATATTATTTGAGATATTTTAATAAGGCATCATTTTATATTTGAATAATGATACTTTCATTTAATTTAATTATCTATACCTTAAATTAAACTAGGCCACTTTAGTGACTAACTAGTTCCTTTCATAGATAATATAATTAGTAAATGTGTGATGGATATTTTATGAGATTAATTATCAAAACTATTTAACATATCTCGATCAACACAGACTATAACATAGTTCATATTAAAACAAATAATATAGAACTAACAATCTTTCAAGAACCGAAGATATCAGTTAAAAGCAACTGATCCTTTATGTTTCAGTAATAATAAATGGACAAAAATCCAACACATCAATTAAATTCCAACAACTTCATAATGGAACCGTAGTAAATAAAATTGTAGCAATTTACACAATTTTGATCTTTTCTTCACAATATGATATAGTTGAACATCAATTATTTCCATTCTCGTCCAAGCAGTCAAAAAACGAACAGAAAAAACTCAATTAATTTTGATACATATTGCAATAATTCACAAAAGCAATTCTAAACGGCGCACATCAAAATTCATATGGCCAAATCCCTATTAACTTTAATCGGCAACTTAATC